CCTGGCTACTGTCAAGTCAGCATTTATTCACCAACCAATAAAAGAAACATATATTCACAGCAGACAAAAGGACATCCCCCATTAACCATGTCCAGGAAAATCACTGAATTTAAAGTTTGAATTCTTTTGTAGTTGAACTTTATCATGAATGCTGTGGTGCATTGTTAAAGATGCTTTGTAAAACCGTATTTAGTGTGTGTGTGTGATACTACAGAGTGTGTTTGGAGGTCAGAGAACAACTTTTGAGAGTTGGTTCTTCCATTTGGTTGAGGCAGCTGGATCTTTCTTGTTTCTGCTGCAGTGCTATGGGTTCCTGGTTATCTGGGCCATGAACTTCTGGACAATTCTTCTGCTTTTGTCCTTCATCTCACTGTAAGATGCTGGGATCACAGAGGACCACTGCATCTTCTGGGCTCTAGGATTGAACTTGGGTAGTCAGATTTGCACAGGAAGCACTTCTAAGGGCTGAGACATCTTCCCAGTCCTTTCCCATATCTTTAAGTATTGAATACTTTAAAATATATCAGCTGGAACATAATCATAATTTATCTGATCATTTCAATTACTTAGCATGTAGTTTCGCTATTATGAACAGACTTTAATGTATATTCTTATGTATAAATAATTGTGTCTCTGATTATCCCTTCTAAAATTTTCTACACTTAAAATTATTTCATACTATATAGGGTTCTTGATGTACTTGCTAAGATACAAATCAAATCATGTTACTTTCCCTTTTTAAAAAACAAAAATCTCAGGGCTGGGCGTTGGTGGCACATGTCTTTAATCCCAGCACTTGGGAGGCAGAGACAGGCAGATCTCTGTGAGTTTGAGGCCAGCCTGGTCTTCAAAGAGAGTTTCAGGACAGTCTCCAAACCTATAGAAAAACCCTGTCTTGAAAAATTAAAAAAAAAAAAATTCTCTAAAGATGAATTGTGGACAATAGTTTAGACTCCTGAGGTGGGGTATTCTGCAGACTTGTTCTCAGTTTACCTCTCTGACTTTGACTCCCATTCCTCCATATGAGCCCCTTCCTCACTCACATCAAATGAGAAGCCCAGGCCAGAGCTTTGGGCCTGATTGATTGTCTAGAACCCTATTTGCCTTGAAATTTAACAGTAAGTATCCTTTATGTAAAATATATAGTATGTCTTCCATTTCAGTGTTTGTTGGGAGTCAGCTTTGGCTTAAAGAATTGGGTCACTTTAATCACAATGTTTCTACGTAAGGCATGCCATATCTGATATCTGGCTGAAGAAATAAGTACAATTAATGAGTAGCGTCATTGCTGCATGGCAGAGTGGAAATTTAAGGAGAAGGATTTTTTGTTTTGTTTTAACTCTAAGCCCACATTCTTTATCATTATCACTTGCTTCCTATATAAACTTCCTATCATTTGGATTCCTCCTCTTTGGGTTTTCTGAAACATTCCAGCCTCTGTCTTTCTCCTTGTCTGGTGTTTCAACTTTAGTTCCCTGGCAGCCAGACATGTTTAATTCTTAGCGTACAAGAGGTATTTGCCTGCTGACTGGATTGTGAAGGTTGAAGCAAACATTTCCACAATTCTGAAACAGTTTCCCCTCATTTCCTCTACTGTCACTGGTGCTGACTTCATGAGCCAATCTCCTTGGGGATTGCCACTCTTGGGGATTGCCACTCAGTTCCTCTGATGCCTTCATTTATAATGGGGTCTCCAGCTGAGCAGGTGACATCCTGAAACTCCTCTGCCAATAAATAAAGGCCCTAGATGGCATTCCCTGAAGCAAGCAGGAAGAGAATAAGACTGAGTGTGCCAGAAGAAAGCTTCTGCTTGCAGGCATGCTTGGCATGCAAACCATATATCTATGGGAACCACTGCCGACTGTGGCCATCCTTGTACTAGAGACACATCCACCTCCTCCCAACACCTTGAAACCACAAGAAGCTTGCCATTCACTGTTTCAATAGAGTGAAGTCTACCCTCCATAACAGGCACCTTCCCTAGCAAGAATTCTTGACTGAGAGCTGCCTGGACCACACGTTCCACAATTTGGTCACCAAAGCACTAGTTGTTTGTTCTTTCTTTCTCTTGTCTAATCTCGCTGCAAACATTGCACCATCTTTACAAATGTCACTCAGGCAGGGGAAGTAGAGTGAGCATGCATACCTCCAACCATGCATTCAATCATATATGTGAAAATACATAAACCTATATGCATATATATGTTGACATGTACACATTCACACATCAGCTAGAGGAGGAATACCATCATTCCCCAATTAATCATTGTTCATCAAATACAAACTGTGGCTTTATCCTAAGAAAAAGAATTGGCATCACTCTCCAGGAAGATTATCATCGTAGATAAGGTGATAGATATTTAAGAAGTCAACTAGAGACAAAGGAGGCAGCAAAGCCACCTAATCTTCCTCTCTCCCAGACAGGTGGATCTCAGCACCTGTTTGGAGAAAAAGAATGGAGAAGAGATTAAAGCCATGCAGTTTAAGGTAAGCCAGCATGGAGGCCAGCCACATGAGGACAAGCTGCCACATGGTATGGAGGGAGCTTTAGAGGAAGAGTAAGGGAGGAGGAAGAAGAGGAAGAGGAGGGAGAGAAGAATAAGAGATATGTGTCTCTGAGTCAGGACTCAGAAAGGCAGACAGAGCAAGCTGAGCCACAGGACGGCTTGTTGGGATGATGCTAGAGAGCTTGAATCTGGGAAGGAAAGTCTAGTATCTCATTCAAGGGATGTCACCCCACCCATCTCTTTAGCAAGGCTTAGGGTGAGCCCGCCCTTAGCCAGGTGATTGACCAGCTCAACTGGATCAACTCTTTTCTGTTTTGAGTAGCTTTGAGTGTGAGTTCCCCACTCAGGCCAGAAGTTCATCCTCTTGACTAGAAGGAACTAATTTTTCCTAATGGGTATTTATTGCTGCAGGGTCATACTGATGCGTTTATCTAGCACTTAGGAAGTAATTAGTAAATACTTAAGCCAATGAATATCTGAAATTGTTTGAGTCTGAATCCCAGATTTGTCCCATGGTAGAGGTGTCCACTAAGAAAGGATTCTTTACTAAGCCTGTTTGACTCCACTTTGGAATAACATGTATCTTCAGCATTTTAAGCTTTTCTGAGTCTGAAGCTTGTTTAATTGGTGGTTACTAATGGCCACACAGTTTTGTTACCTGGCTGCTGGTTAACTGGTTCAAGGGGGACTAGGTTGTCCCAGACAGGAAGGCAGGAAGCAAGCAGGGTAGGCATGCTTTTGACTTGTTGCAGAGTTCCTTGTGTAATTCTGGTTCATAAAGCTTTGAGGTTATTGATGTCTGACCTGGCATACACTAAAGTGAACCCCGTGGAGACTGGTGGGGACAGCATACACTTTAGCAGAATCTGGCTTATGGGGCAAATTACACCGACGAGTCCCCTGGGGATTTTACCTACAGAAGTGTCCTGTTCGGTAGGTTAAGGTCGAGGAGGGTGTGCTCCTTCAGTGTTTCTACCACCTTCGTCAGGGATGCAGATATTGTTGCTCTGTGGACACACTTGGAGAATCAGGGCCAAGTCCCTGAAATGGGTCTATTTCTTGAGGGCAGTTCAACATTTTTGGAGAAGAGATGAAAGAGGGTTCATCTCATTCTCAGATGTCTTAGATTCTAGAAGCACCAGCTCCTACCCTCCTGACACCAGCAAGCCCTCTCATCTCTCTGAACCTTTGTTCTTCTGACTTGATGTAAGGCTGCAAAAATGTCAAAATGCTGCTGGCTGGTATGGGGGTGGGGGGTGTCCTGAGGGTAGCAAATGGCAAGCTGATCTTAGAAGCAAAGCAAGCTAGGAACTGCATGGGGTGTGTTTGTGTGTGTGTGTGCGTGTGTGTGTGTGTGTGTGTGCACGCGTATACACATCAAAGATTGAAATCAAGGTTTCATTATGCTAGACAAGCACTGCACCCCTAAGCGGCGCCCCCCCCCCTTTTTTTTTCAAGACAGGGTTTCTCTGTGGCTTTGTCATCTGTACTGTTACACTATGCATGTTCTCACCATGGAGTCTTGGGTCACAGATAGTTCAAATCCCTGGAATCTGAAGGTTGTGTTACACAGCATGGGGAATTTAGTTTTGGATGAAATTTAGTTTTCTAATCAGATGACTTTAACATAGGGAGATGACTTTCAACTATCTGAGGGTTTAGGCAATCACCATGCCACTACATATGATCAGAAGAAAACAAGGAGAAGGCAAAGTGAGGAGGAGGAAGAGGCCCATAGCCAAGGGACATAGGTGGCCTCAAGAAGCTACAAAAGGCAGGAGCTCCTCTAAAGCCCAGGAAGGTAACAGGTTTGTTGTTTCAACTCACCAAGCTGTAGTAATTTGTAATTATTTTAACAGCAGCAAAATTAAACTAATGTAAGGCCTGTCCTGCAACATGCTGGCAGGCTCTCAGACAAGTTACATCATCTGCGTTCCCCAGCACTCCTCCTTCCTCAAGCTAAGGACTGCTTTGGGAAGCAAAGGGACAACCGGGTAGAAATGGCTGATACACAGGTGGACAACACATGAGTTTCTAGTTGCCCTTTTCCTTCTAGGTGGTGGCAGGGTGTCACATGAGGCAGGAGAGCAGAAACCCAGTGCCCTTGTCAACAAAGCACCCTCTCCCTTTGTTAGGGAAAGGCTCTCCCTTAAGCTCCCCAAGACTACATTATCTAGGCGAGTCTCCATATCTATCTTTGGGGGACCCACAGCTCCCACCTCCTGCATGAAAACCCTTGAGAGCACAAAAGCCTTTTTAAGAGGCTGGAGATGAGAGCCTGCCCCCAGCATCCCTCTGCAAACAGGCCTGGGAGATGAAAGAGCAGCTTCCCTATCCTGCCTCTGTAGTGGCCATAATTGTTTCCTACTGAGACAATCAGGAGCTGGTGCCCCAATGAAGCATATCCACCCAGGGGCCCTTCCCGCCATACCTCTTCCTCCCTTCCATAGATCCCCAAACAGACACCCCTCAAACAGTCCAGGCAACAGTGCCTTAGTTAGTCACGTTATGAGCTTTTATTTCAAAAGCACATTTAATATACATTTAGTTTCGCAGATACACGTTTTCACTTTGTATGCCACAAAAAAAAAAAAAAAAAAACTTTGAATATTATTCTCTTTACAAAACGGAACCTTACAAAAATACTGACAATTTAATGTTTTTATACAGTTTTTTTTTCTCTAGTTGCAGTTACTTCTGTCCTTGTAAAACAATGGCTACCACAGAACTATGACATTTTTAGTTGAGATTTGGAAAAAAAAACAAAAACAAAACTCAACGCTCCTTTAAGCAGCTAAAGTAAATAACACAGGTCGAGACACAGTTTATATTCATAGTGGATATAGCTAAAATTGTTTCAGAAATAATATCTTACATAGTTAACTTTTAATGTTTTATACATTATTTATATAATATTTATATATAAAATCATAGCTTGCTATATGTTGAAATGAAAGGACGGAGTCTGTGGAAGGGTGTGCATGTGGTTGACCCATATGGTTACGTGTAGCCCTTTGAAAGATTTGAAAAGCACTTTTTTCTTCCTTCTTCCTTCCCATGGAGGTTCAGTAGACGGGGCCTCTGTCTACTTATCTAGAACAGGACCTTGCTCGGAAGGACACTTGTGGATAGAGGAGGATGAGGAAAAAAACTCTATGCAAATTTAACCCATGTGTTCTGCCCAGCAGAACCCACCAAAGGATTGTCCCAGGGATCAACCCCGAGGCCATAGTGCTTAACACAGCAAGATCAACTCCTGCAAAAGACCCTCTGGGCTCCCTTAGCTCGAAGGGTAGCCTTTCGGGCAAGAGACTGTGTGCTACTCTGGCTCTCTCTCCGATCCCAAGGAGCCAAAAAGTTGGTTCATTTTTTTCATTCTGCCTTCTCTCTCCCTTCTGGGCTCTTTACTGAGCCTCTTTTGATCAGCCAAAGGCTGACCATGCCTGTGCTCATCACTGGCCCTCACCTGAAATCCCGGTAGGCACCAAGCAAGAATTTCAAGGGGGGGGACAGCAGTAACCGAAGTCTAACACATGTGCAAGCGCCAGGTGATTGATCCTGCAATGGCAGTTCCGCATCACAGTGTATCGAGTTAGAAGAAGATGACCTCCCTGTCTTCTGAAATTGTGCTATTTGTGAAGTTTACTCATCCACAAAGGGTCTCCTAATCTCTAAAAGTGATGGCCTATGGTTGTCAGCCTGGGGATGGGAGAGATGACAGAGGCCTCAGGGCCTGGGATTTGGATTCAGGATCTGATCACTCTGAGTAAATGCACCCAGTCCTGGTATTTCAAAAGGCAAAACTTCCTTGAACCAACGTCACAGTATAGTGGGGGCAGGCAGAGGGGCTGATTCGGTGTGGGTTCGAGCTGTTCTCACTGGCCTGGGATTTCTCGGGTCACAAAAGGTGGCCACAGCCTCTGCTCGATTATTCTAGTGTTTTTCTCCTGACAAGGCCTACGCTCACTACATCAGCCACACAGCCAGGACTCAGGACTCCGGTGCTATTGTCTCCACACAGGCAAACGACCTATTTTGGAAGGCCACAAGATAAGGCTTTTTTTTTTTTTTTTTTTTTTTTCCTTTAAATTTTTTCAAAATCCATTGGGCAAAAAGCTTTTCCCTACATTCTACTGTCTGATGAGATTGGAGAGCAGCAGGAACATGCTGTCAGCAGTCACTTCAGAGCAATCGCTCTGGAGCCGAAGCACCTACACAATATTATGATGATTGTTCCTGTCGATAATGTCCACAGGTGACAGGAGCTCCTTCCTGATCGCAGGTGTGGGCAGCGACAGGCTCGTCTTAGTCTTGAAGAGATCGGACACGAAGAACACCTAGGGCACAGATCAGAGATCCAAATCAGTAAATGCCTAGTGTGGCCTGGGAACAGACCAAAGGGAGGTTCGAGAAACAGACAGTTGGAAAAGAGGGCCCAAATCATAGCTCTTTAATCAGGGGAGGGGGCAATTAATCTTTAACTCTTTAAGAGGGGACACAGGTCCTGCTGGGCGTTGGTGGCGCATGCCTTTAATCCCAGTGCTGGGGAGGCAGAGTCAGGAGGATCTCTATGAGTTCGAGGCCAGCCTGGTCTACATAGCTAGTTTCAAGACAGGCTCTAAAGCAATACAGGGAAACCCTGTCTTGAAAAACAAAAACAAAAATAAATAAAAAATAAAAGGGAGGCACAGAGGTCCTGTCTGCCAGCAATCACTATGCTGACAGACAGGAAATGGAGGCAATGACTGTCTTGGGCTATGAAAGAACCCTACTTTTACAGACTTTTCATCAGGGCTTTGAAGCTGGAACATTTCTGATTTCTCAAGGCAAATGTGTTATGAAAGATGAGTTCCTAACAAGGGAAGCGCTCATAGTTTCTCAGTTATTAATCCACACTTTTCCTTTTTCTTACAAAGGAATCCAGAGTAGGACCAAAAGAGATCAGCCAATACAAACTCTGACCAGCAGGTGCTGTAGCATGGAAATAGCAGTGACCACATTTTCCTGAAAACCCCATGATGTCAACCATTCAAGGGAAAGGGGCCAAGAAGCCCGGGTCTTGACACCGAGAGTCAGAAGCTCACTGGGAAGAAAGGTCAGTGGACAAGCCTCCTGCTCTCATTCCCGGCATTCCTTCTCCTCCCCAGCATGTGACCTTCCTGAATCTTTCTCATAATGATTGGGAAACATTTACAAAACACCCACTTGCAAGATGGCTCAGACGAGGTTGCTGCTGTCTGATGAAAGAACCCGATGGATGAGCAACTAGAGTAAGAAAAACTGCTTCCCAGGGAGCAACACTAAATATACAGAATCAGCCCGAGATAGTCAGCAACCGGAGCTTGTATGAAACAGTCCAACTGTAAGTGGCAGCTGTCAGTCACCTCATTTAATAGAAAGTACACCACTGAGTTCACACTGGGAGTGAAATACATAAAGATCCTGGCTGGATGGGGACATGGTTCGGTAGTGTTTACCTAGCAGGCACAAAACCTAGGTCTGATCTATAACACACACAGACACAACAACACATACACAGACACACACACAGAGACATAGAGACACACATAGACACACATACAGACATGCATAGGCACATAACACATACAGACATGCATAGGCACATACAGACACACACAGACAACATACACGTACATACACAGACACATACATATAGACAGACAACTTACACACACACACACACACACACACACACACACACGTTTCTGTGTCCCTGAGCTTTCAGAGCTGAATGTTTAGCATTGCCTGCATAGCCCTGTGACTTCATCCTGGTCACTTAGGAAAATGAAGTTCTTAATTAGAATTCTCTGAACAGTCTTAAGCAGGCAGGCCCTGGCTAGAGTCAGGCCCTGGACTGTTTGCTGAACTGCTTTCTGGTGTTCATTCTACAGTTGCATAGAAATCACCGAAGAGTTGTAAAAATCCTAGGAGGCAGGTGCTGCTTGAAGAGAGGATAGAGTGGGTATGACACAAATGTGCAAGAGTCCTGTTAGTCACTGCCAAGTCCTTTGTCCCATTTTATTTTGCACAACTCAACCATTTCTACTGTTTGTTGTTGCTGTTATTAAAAGGGAGGGTAGGGGAACCAGACTGTTCCTATGCTACTAGAGAAAATGAAGTATTAGGCCAAAAATGTCAACTTACAGCCAAGGAAAAAACTAAACCTTTACCCCTTTCCTTTTCCAAGTGTGGTCTTCTGGACAGAGTCAAGCTGGGATGTGTGGGTTGGGTAATAAGAAGCACCTGTTTACCACCTGCTGGAGGCTTGGGGCTCCCCTACTGGGGATCCCTACACACTTGGGAAGGAGTGCCCCTGGTAGTTGCTAACACACACTACTAAAGGTCAGTCTGCCTGCTCAATACCTGAGCTTCTCATCCCTTTCTTACCAAGCCCTCCTGACTCCTCTCCACATCTCATGCTGCACTAGAATGATGTTATCACCCAGCAGGTGCAGAAACAGTAGCCAATTCTCTACCTGAAAATTAGGCTCCTTTCATCTTGGCTTTGTAGTCCAGGAAGACAGAACAATGTCTCTGGCTCTCACCTCTACTTACTTAGTTTCACCATGAGGTGAGAGTATTCTCAGAGCCCTGAGTGAGAGATCTTCATCCTGATTCCTCCCACCCACCACGGGCAAATACAGAAAGGAGAAGCTCTTCTATTCCCCACAGACACTCATCTCATTTGATGGACTTAAGTCTACTACACATGAGTATTTCTGCTTCCTGAAGGAGGAGGAGGAGGAGGAGGCGGCGGCAGCCTATCCGTCTGCAGCAAAGTTCAATAAGATGTGTCTTCCCTTGATGTTGTGGACTGGATGGAGCATGGTTACTGGACAGAGACTAAACCACCTGTCCCATGTCTGCAGAGATCTGCTTCAGGAGGTTAGCTTAGCTCTGTGCATTACCTACAGCACTTAATTTATCTGTGTCTACATCAGGGACTCAATAGATGCTGGCTGTTGAATTTAACAAATGCTCTCTACTTCCTGGGAAAGATGCACTGTGGTTTTGGACCACAAGTACGTACAAAACCCTGTGAGAGACGGGAGTGGGGGCACACACTCAAAAGCCCCATCTACACAGCCAAGTGACATGGGGAAAAGCTTGAGCCAGACCCAGGAGCATCCTGCCTGCAGCTGCACTTTGCCTTTGGCGTGGCTTGAGGTTACCCAGACACTATTTGGGAACCACGAAATACGATCTTGTCAAGACTCAAACAGGGTTCAGTCTTCCTGATACTTGAACAGGAGAGCCTTTAGATGTGAAAAGGCCTTGGCTTGGAGATGTCCCATTCCCTACAGGAGATGCTCCCTACCCAGAAAGGGAAGCCAAAGGCCCAGCTTGGAAAAACTCTGCCCAGATTCAGAGCTGTGGCTGGACCACAAGAAACACCCACAGCCCTGTTCCACAGCCCTTCTCTGCTGTCTGAAAGAATGAGTGAGAAATAAAATCTCAAGCGAGTAAATGAAAATCTCCCCATCCCCCCAAATAGCCAGCTCCCAACACTGCCCAGACCACTTACCTTCAATTTCATTCTTATTCTTTGAATCTTATAAACTACCAATTTTGAGAGAACAGAATGAACACGATCAATAAACACCTATTAAGCCCCTAGTGTGTGCTAAGCCCCAGAACATAAAAGGCAATGTACACAAGACAAAGTTCTTTGTTCTGCAGGAGCTCAGAAACAATGCAGGAGAGAACCAGGTAAACAGCCAACCGTAATGCTGTGATTAAAAAATTATTATCATACTTTTATCTATTTTGCGTGCGCATGTGTGTGAACATGTGCATACATGTTGGAGCTAGTGGACAACACAATTTGCAGCAGTTGGTCCTCTCCTTCTATTGTGTGGGTCCTGGGCACCAAACAGCCTGTTGACTAGGTGGCAGGTGCCTTTATCAGCTGAGGATCTCACTGGCTCTGATAATGCTTTGTTTTAAGGACCAGAAGAGAAGGAAACATTTAACCTAGACAGAAGGGTTGAGAATGGGCTTTAGAAACCTGGCCCCAGGGACAGATAGATACTTGAGTTTGGCTTTGAAGACTCAGGGGGAGTTGGCCAGGTGGTGAATGGCAGAGATGCTGTTACAGGCAGAGATCACAGCCTGCATGTTCCAGCTCAGTAGGGCTAGGACAGAGAAGAGGGCTCTACCTTTGGGCATATTGAGATATCTTTCAACCCAGAAATCACTGGGAGGATGGGCATTTAAACCAGAGAAGGAGCCAGAATCGTGACTGAAGGTGGTGGCATCACGGTGTGGAGGAGAGGCAGTGAAGGCAGAGAGGGAGATGGATTCTGGGATGCTGAAGAGGGGACTACAGCTGACAGAGATGGGGAGGTGGGCTGAGGGGGTAGTAGTTTTTTGTTGTTCTTGTTGTTTTTTGGGTTCTTTTTTTTTTTAGCCATTTTTCACTCCACAACCTCAACACTAGTTATAACAAAAGCTTCTAACATCAGGGTGATTCTGCCAGGCTGTTCTCTTCAGCCTTCTAATACTTGGTTCCCGAGGGACTGTCCTGGGGAAGTGATTGTGACCTACTGCTGAGTTTGAATGTTTGGCCATTCTGTGATCGGATGCAGGGGCGGAAGACGATCCCGCTTTACTCAAACACTCTGGACAATGTCACTCTTCCTCCAGCAGCAAGACTACACACAAACATGGTAGCTCTAGGAACTCCCTCACATGATGAAGAGATAAGAAGCTCACACTGAGCGGCCCCCTGAAAGGTCGGCTCACTTACTGCCTGCTCTCTGAGTCCCTATCCAACCAGAGGGCTGGTAAAATGCTTCCCTCTCGAAAGTAGACAGACTTATTTTTCAAATATCTACCTTAGGGTTACAGAGTACATGTGAGGGGTGGTGAGGATGCCCAGAGAGAAGCTAGTAAGTGGCAGCCACCATCACTAGCTGGAGTATTCAATGCCTAGTTATATAAAAATTACTTATTTTCTCTGTTCCTCCCATAGAAAGACAAGAAAGAACTAGAAAAAGAAGAATGTTGGGCACAGCGATGAATGTTTATAATCCCAACACTCAGAAGTCTGAGGCAGGAGGATCAAGTTTAAAGCCAGTTTCTACTATGTATGTAATAAAATACACCCATATACCACACACACACACACACACACACACACACACAAACAGCACACACGAGAGAGAGAGACAGACAGGCAGAGACAGAGAAAGACAGAGCACACATGTAAGACAGATACTAGGTTACAGAGCTGAGTGGATGGGACTTTTCCATATGACAGATAGGATCTACTTGCAAAGGCCTACAATTTCCAGGGCTATTTTGAGGAGTGAGT